AATACGCCGATGCAACGCAAAGCGTTGTTTTCCCCGCGTAGTTGGCAACTCTATAGTAACTGCAACAATGTCTCTGTTGATGAATCCTGTAATTGGTGTCATTTTTATATTGTTATTTATAAGAATAGCAGCTCTTGGTAAGAGTTGTGTAATGTCATAAATTAGCTTAAACGATCGTGAAGGCATTCCAAAAATCCTGCTTTTGTGTGTCCATGGCTCCTGGAGGAAATTAATATCCATTTTGCTTTGATCAAATGTTTTGCTGAATATAGCTGAAGCTCCTTTTGCGTGGTGAAGGTTTTCTTGTATGAATTGTATGCTTTGTTTCGTCATCAGTTCAATTAGTGTTTCCTTTTGTTGGGCATTTTCTGCTCAATTTACATGGTATTGTGATTACCCGTCAGTTTGTATTGTTTTGTGTGGACTTGTATATCTAGATATTCAATTCAATTTCCTTTGCTTTTTTATGGAGTGGACTTATCTGAGTGACAGCAATCCATCTCAACTTCATTAGAAGCTTCGCTAGTCTGTCTGGTCTACCGGATTATAATTTTGCTAGCTTCTTTATTGCATTGATCAGTATTGTCATCACCCTTATCCACAATTTCAGAGTCCTCGTGGATCTCAGGAATTTTAGACATCTCTATAGGACAGTTTGTTGTTATCTTTGTTTGTGGACCCGTTTGATCCCGAATTTCCTGTTGAGCTTGATTATTGATACGAAGACCCTACTCTAGCTTTATTCAACCTGTCTTGTACCGAGGAAGATCCTTTGGGTGGATTTCCTCTCTCATCCTGGCGCGCAATCCTTTTCGGTGGATTGCTGTCGCTACCATTTGACGCATTGGGATCTGCATTACTACGCCGCATTGCTGGCTCAACAAACGGCGTTCTAAATGGCTTCTCAGCCAACATAAGGGCATCCTCAGGTTTGTGACCTTGACCTAAGAGATATTTAAACCTCTTCTTTGCAGCTCCATTCAGCCGCTTGATGGGTTTCATTTCTGGCGGGGCGTTCCTCTGATCTACTCCCTTAACACCATCCTTCTGTTTACGCGCAGAAAAAAATATTTTAAACGTAATAATATTTGACGTTAGATTAATAAGAATTTCATTTTGTTTTGGCTGCAAAAAGAAATCATTATTATTTCAACAATCCAGTATCTTTGTTTCTAAAAACCCATGGATTGTTAAATCAAACAGAAAATCTTTCCGAATTAAAAAGATCTTTCATGGTTTTTACGTGAGCTGTCAAATTTGGCAGCTAGGTCAACAAAAAAATATGTTTGTTTTTAAAAGAGCTTTCTTGTTGATTCAATCTCGGATCCAATCATATTTATTTTATTAAGCCTGATAATATACGCAGTAGAAATAAAAATATGTTTATTGATTCAATAATAATTTTTATGATTTGTTTTCTTTTTGTAGCAAACAGTAAAACCTTTCTGAGGCCCCTCCCCTTGGCTAGTTTTTGCACCTTGCTGTTGGTTGGCGGGCTTAATTTCATGCTTTATAGTGGAGTGTTGGAGACGGTAGGTTTATGGTCGGCGTTGCTGGCTCATGCCGCGATAGAATGGCGTCATGGACAGGCAATAAGGATTACTAAGCTTACCCTCTCTGATAAAGCCGCGTCGTAGTACGCTTACGTATTGGCACTAACGTTGGGTGTGATACTGGCGGGTTTTGCCGCAAATCACTCTTATTTTATTTATTTTTACGCAGATAGATTTATTTGGGTTTGCAAGGGAATTATACTATTGAAATATTTCAGAAAGTGCCCAACGGCGCTCCTTCTATTTGCGTGACAAGCTTACATTGTTGTTTTCATTGAAGTATTACTCAGGAAACAATGTTAAACATAATTTTTGTACATGGTATTGTAACTAATCTAATATGTGCTTCATTTTGATTTGGGATAAGTGTTTGAACTATGGCTCGGGATTTCCACTGTGGCGTGCTTCTATTGTGACATACCCATACGTATTTTTGTGGTGCGACATAGAGGAAGCGTGTGAGCATAGTTGGAGCATATACTCTATATAATTTAAAAATCAGCAAGAAAACTAACTTCAAAATGAAGCATTTTAGTCACAAGAAGGTGTTACCTGGGTCGAACTAAGATATAATAAATAGGTATAGGCTTAAATCAAAAGTATTTGAAACACGTTTAATTTTAGATTACAAGCACGAGTGCAGGTACTTAATAAAGCATGGGTTATGATTAATTAGGTGAATTAGAACTTTAATAATTTATTAAATTAGACTAATGAGATATCATAATCATTAAAAAAAAACTTTAATAAGAAACTTCAGAAAGTCTAATGACATTAAGTAGATTAACAAAAGAATTAGGATGAGGGGGATCCGCTTAGGGAGGCAACTAACCTTTAAAGTTGGAGAATAAATCTTCTTATTTAGTCTTGAACTTTAAAAAGAAAACGCAGGCAGACCAATAGCATAAAGCAGATTAACAAGGATAGCAACGGCGCCGGTGGTGTAGTGGTAAGCGTGATTACCTCTCACCCCAGCAGGCCTGGGTTCAATCCCAGTCGGCGCCGCCGGGATGTTCTGAGGCATAACATCTCTGATCACGCCTTCCTTCGGATGGGAAGTAAAGCCGTTGGTCCCCGGTTCATGAGTTGATGGGTCGATATGTAGGGTCCAGGTGTGGGAGCTGCCTTCCTGGCACGTCGGTAGCATTGGTGCTCAGCACGGAAAACAAGATCGACGGAAAAAAACAAACCAAAGGAAAAAAAAAAAACAAGGATAGGAATAGTTTAGGAAATAAGTAAAAGTAGAGGTATGTGACAATTAATAGCTTTTAAAGTTTTGGAGGTATTGTATTCCCCTGAGTTTGTTGTGCTCGATTACTCAATACGCGAAATCTCTTATATATGTGGTTAAAGCATTTGAGTTAACTTATTTCTTAGTGTTCAAGTACTTACATTTTTAAACAGCAGTCAATGTTAATCTATGAACTAAACCATACGTAAAATCGATCTTTCCTTAAGCCTGGTACGCAGCTGAAAAGTAATGACGTTTTTATGTGCTACCGGATAGGACACGGAATGCAAAAGAAATTACTTTTCCTCAGCATTTCTTGACCCAGTACGCAGTTCAAAAGAAATCGGTAAAGGAAAGATCGATTACATTAGTATCGTGATCGACATGAAGGTGGCGCATTCTGAATGCAATTTCACTTTCCTTGCGGAATAATGGTCTGATCAATTATTCCGTTAGGTAATGTTGGCGTTTATTGCAAAACTGATGTTTTGGATGCATTTAAACAACATAAACACTAATAAGTGTTGATTTTACAATTTGACGACATCTCCCTATAATCTCAAAATTTAGCAGCCTATAGCTGTCAAATTTTCTTTTGGGAAAAAATCCTCAAAAATTACTTTTCCGTTTTCTTTTCAGCTGCGTACCAGGCTTTATGTGGTATTTATGCATGTTCAACTTTTCGCGGCTGTCGGAATCAACGCGCCTACGTCTACGGAGCTTACGCAGAAGTGATTCGCAATGCGGTAGAGCTCACCACAAGTTTTTTTGAGCTTCTGTAGTATAGAATTTGTTCGGTACGGTCGCGAAATCTTGAAATGATTGATACGTGCGGTAAAATAACTAAATTGAAACAATGCTCAACAGTAAACTTAGTAGAATATTTAGGGAGGAAACCTAAATTAATCAACTTGCCAACATAGGCTATCACATTTATTTTGGTGGCACTCTTTAAATGATAATAAGTCTTTTTTTCTCGCGTTGGTTGTTTTGCACGAAGCTCGAAATTCACGCGGTTTTCGTAACACAGCATTTTTTCTATAACTAGCTTGAAACAATACATACGGAATCTAGTGTTCAAGCGGCCAACATAGGCTAGTCCTTCTGCTGTATTGTCAAAGATAGAAGCAAATTTTATTCAAATGGGTCAAGTCTTGAAAATTAAGCTGTCACGCAGCTCCAGCTTAATACCCAATAAAAAAAAAAAAAAAAAAAAAAAACCTTTCAGAGGCATAAAATCTTTCCAGTTCATGAGTTGATGGGTCGATAGGTAGGGTCCAGGTGTGGAAGCTGCCTTCCTGACGTCGGGAGCATTGGTACTCAGTACGGAAAATAAGATCGACGGAAAAAAGGAAAAAATATTCGTGATAATATATATGATTCGTGAGCGTTCACTCAGAGTGAGCGCTCACGAGTCGTAAAATCTCTGATTGTGACGCACTGAAAGCAATATTGACAGATTTTATGTGTCAAACATGTACTTTACTCCCTTGTCTTGTTACTAACAAGTACAACATAGCATTATTGCATCTAATGATTGCATAATTCCGAATAATATTTTTTTTATAGCAAGTGAGTGTACATCAAAATGATACAAAAATCAATTATTTTTTTAGGGGTATAAATTATGTTCTATTTGTAGTCTTATCGGCGGGTTAAATTTATTCCGGATCACTTTCATAAACTGTGTAATGTAATTGTAATTTACAAGTACTAATAAGCATTATACTATATCATGATTTCATAATACCGAAAAACATTTTTTTTTATAGCAAGTGAGTGGAAGTAACCCTGGTTTTAACCTCCAAAACCGTACAAAGTGCGTCTTGTCGGCATCACGGATTTTTCCAGGAACACCTTCAGCACCCCTCGGGTTTCTTCGTAGATCAGACCGGAAATACGCTTGACACCACCACGTCAAGCCAGACGAAGGATGGCAGGCTTGGTAATACCCTGGATGTTATCACGCAGAACCTTCCGATGACGCTTGGCGCCTTTTTTCCAAGATCTTTGTCTCCCTTGCCACGACCAGTCATTGTTGCTTGATGTTTGTCGTTGAACGGGTGAATCGACACTAAGCCAAAAGCGTAGTTAGCAACCTGTTATATAGACAACCAGCTCTGCCGGTACCATATTTTCTCGCTTCCCATTGGCTTCATACAGTCATGATGATGCAGCTTTGTCGATATTGGGAAATTCTGCGTGATAACATCCAGGGCCTGCCATCCGTCGTCTGGCTCGACGTGGTGGTGTCAAGCGTATCTCCGGTCTGATCCACGAGGAAACCCGAGGTGTGCTGAAAGTTTTCCTAGAAATTATGATCCGTGATGCCATCACCTGTACTGAACACGCCAAGCGCAAAACCGTCACGGCCATGGATGTCGTCTACGCTCTGAAGCGACAGGGACGCACCTTGTATGGTTTCGGAGGTTAAAACTAATTACCAACGTAACATTGGTGGCCCTGAAAAGTTAGAAGTCATTTCAGAAAAGAGTTAGAATAGAATTTATATAGAGTATCCCCTGCTTCCAAGTTTGGTTACAGGATTACAACTCTGGAGAGCAGCGGTGGCGGTGGTGTAGTGGTAAGCGTAATTACCTCTCACTCAGATAAGCGTAATTACCTGGGTTCAATCCTAGTCGACGGGGGAAGAAAAGCCGTTGGTCCCCAGTTCATGAGTTGATGGGTCGATAGGTAGGGTTCAGGTGTGGGCAGCATTGGTGCTCAGCACGGAAAACAAGATCGACGGAAAACAAATCCAAGGAAAAAAAACGGAGAGCATTTCGTGTGGTCGTTGGGGGCGTGTGGTTCTGAATTGGCAGCAAAATGTTCCGCAATTGCATCCTCCCTATTCGTACACGCCCGAAGATCGGAGGCGAATGTCACTTCGACATGTTTAATATAGGAACCATTCTCTGATGACTGTGTTGGGGAAGCAGCATATGCATGTACGTTATTGGTGGATTTGTTAGTTATTTCGAAACTTTTAGGCAATGCTTGAAATTTACCACTTTTTCAATAGTTTCAATTTGAAAATCAACAGTCCAAAGCATTGTTATCGATGCGTAGAAACATTTCTGATCCATTGGTGATATTTTTTTTAAATTGGTCCTGGGGCAGCTAAGTTATTAACGTTCAACATCTTTCATAATTTAATTTGCCGGTTTTCATAAAGTGCACCCCCATCTTCCCGAAAGACGTAGTCCTAGGTCAAAAATACTATAAATCAAGTATACTTTTGATATAAATAAAAATTAAAAAAATACAATAACCAATTAAAAAATATAACTTAATACAATTAAAGCTAAACATACTTCATATGAAATAGATCAAGCAACTGCTCGTAACCCACCTAATAATGAATAATTAAAATTAGAAGATAAACCAGCCACTATAACAGTATAATCACCTCATATTGTAATACATAAAAAAAACCCTTAATTAATATAATTTAATTAAATATGGGATACATATTCAAATTCGTTTATTTGATCCGTTTCTTTGCACGGATGTTTTTTCTTGTAACTAGCGTAAGTGTGCCTGCGATTGCCTCCCGGGAGGCCGGTTCACCGTGTTCGGATGTCACGCCTCCATCGTGTAGTTCTATCGAGAGTCTCGTCACCGTGTGCGAGTTTGAACACGGGTCTAGTTGGCAAATTAGCCGGGCAAAGTGCTGATAATGTGTCCGTCGCGAGTTTTGGTGGTGATTCGGTGGTCGACGTTACCGTGAATCAGCGAGTTTACGGCTTACAAAAGTGATCGTCTGCTGGTCAGTGTAATGCCGCGGATACACTTGTATGGCAAACTTTAAACATGAGCATTATTTATATATTAAATCATGAACACATCCCTGGTTTGGTTCTGATTTCGGCGTTGGTCGCGAGTTGATTCGGCCGGTGAGGAGCTGGCGTCGCGAGTGATTGGTGATGGAAAGTGGATGCAGTCCTTTTTTCTGAATCCCTCTAGAGTGTATTTCGTGGTTGATTGGGTTTGCTCTACTGTGTGAGAACCAAAAGGCGAGAGTGCTGTTTTTAACACCAGTTGAAGAAGTAGCGGCAGCATATCTATTGGAGCTCTTCGAAATAATCGTGATGTCATGGATCCCTTTGCAACATATCGGGTGAGATCTTTCCTTTATTTTTCTCGTAATCCCATTTTATTGTTAGTCATGGTAGTTATACATCACACTTAACACTTTACATTTACATCCTTACATTATTTGTAATTAGAGATAAAAATATGTATTTGCTTAATATAACCTTGAAATTTCCAGTGTTACATCCACTTGATATTGTGAGCTGAAGAAACCTAGAGCTGCATCTTAGTATAAGTAAAATAATTATTGTTTTCATTGCAGAATATCAACTATTTTATATATATAAATGTATATTCATTATTTCATATTTAATGTTTTGATATATTTCATTTCTCCACTACATATATTTTCATTATATAAATAAATACTAGTTTGGGAGGGAGCATCAGGGTATCATTTGACCTGGGACTGGACGATGGAGTGGTATGACAACTGGAGTCTAGGAGGGAATAAACACTATCATTTTCTTTATCCTACCGATTCGATTGTGGTGGTGTGAATTCTACTTCAGCAGTTTCAGTGAGATTGACGCGCCCTTCTTTACAAACCATTCTGTAGGAAGCTTAATAAGTAAATATACAATATTGCGAATTGTGTTATTCGATTTTTTGGATCGTATCGTTGGAAGGAGATTCTTAAATTCCCGTGGATTTCGTGTAAGTGTCTCTGCTTACGGGTCCGCACCTCCGTTTTTGGCCATTCATACAGCGATATTGTGAATTCAGATCGGTAGCTCAAATTGATCTTGCTATTAAGTGGAGCTGCATACAAGACAAGATATTTGAAGGGATGGTGACTACCTTACATACATATGGGATACATATTCAAATTAAAAAAAAAAAAAAAACTAAGAAAAAATAAGAGAAAAATAATACAAAATATAATTTGATAATCTAGAATATGTGTGTTCCTTAGTAACAATTTTACAGCATCTCTAAAAGGTTGTCATAATCCTATAAACCCTGCTTTATTTGGTCCTTTCCGAATTTGGATATAACCTAAAACTTTACGTTCTAATAAAGTTAAAAAGCAACTCCGACTACTACAAAATTACTAATAATAAAGTATCAATTCATGATTATAAATAATCTATTAAAAACAATGCTATTTATAATAAATTAGATTATATAAACAAATTCTAAATTTATTGCACTAATCTGCAAAATAGTTTATTAAATATTAATATTAATCATAATTTTAAAATCTATATTTTTATAAATACTAGGTCCTTTCGTACTTCAATATACGAGATACCCAAAATTGACCTCTGCTCGCTTTCTACTCTCTATATACAATTTTGACACTGCCGTACTCCAACGGAACTATCAACACTATATTTTCATCTCCTCATCTATCGTATAAAAATGAACACTTTAAGCTTGATATTTGTCGTTAAGCATCTCCAAGTATACTTAACCTGTCCAAATTTGGTCCATCGATTATATTCAATCACTACCTAGAAGCAAATCAAGTAACGCACACTTGTTGGTCCACTTAGTTCGTTTTTTTTAATGGACAGTGTTTGTTGTTGTTGTTGTTGTTGTTGTTGTTGTTGTTGTTGTTGTTGTTGTTGTTGTTGTTGTTGTTGTTGTTGTTGTTGTTGTTGTTGTTGTTGTTGTTGTTGTTGTTGTTGTTGTTGTTGTTGTTGTTGTTGTTGTTGTTGTTGTTGTTGTTGTTGTTGTTGTTGTTGTTGTTGTTGTTGTTGTTGTTGTTGTTGTTGTTGTTGTTGTTGTTGTTGTTGTTGTTGAAATTTATTTTCCGTAAGAATTTCAAAGGTTTGGATCCTTCAACTCTATAACAATATAATATTTCAGTAACATTGTTGACACTCTTGCCGATGTTGCTCATACTTCCTGCAGTTAACCAGGAGGTGACGAACGTTAAATTGTTCACCGAATGTCTGGCACATGTTGCTTTGTTTGTTGAAGAGGTGCTGATGTGTTAAGCGTGTGTGACCGATTCTCAAACGAGTGAGAGCCCGCTGCTCCGTGGAGGAGGATCGATCCGTCCAAGCAAGTGTAGATGGTTTACAAATTCGAAGAAAATTACTGCCGTTATTCCATTGGATCTCCCATTGATGTCGAACTTGTTGTTTACAGCGTCTGACAACGTCTTCACCGGGAACTGCAATATCCAAAAGATCTCCATATCTTCCTTGTTTGGCTAAATCGTCTGCTGTGGTGTTTTCTAATATTCCAACGTAGCCCGGGATCCAACAGAAGTCGATGTTTTAGCTTTCTGCTTCGATTTCGATTCCACGGGTGTCGTGATTGTCCTTTCTCTAATGCTTGTACGCTGGCAGAATCTGTGAAGATTACGGTGGCTTTGTTTGTTTTGACAAAATTAGTTGTAGCGTGGAGGATGGCCATGGCCTCTGCTGAAAAAAATGAAGCAAATCGCGGGTAGCTGGAAGTGAGTTTTTTGTGCTTCAGAGAATATCCCAAAACCGACAGAGCCATCCGTGAACAAACGTCTATGGAATAGATATTTATGTTGGCACAGATCGAGATATACTTTTTATGCTATCACAGGTGGTTCCCCTACTTTATATCGCTTTTTAAGGGTCCAATCTACTCGAGGTATCCGTGTATTCCAAAACCTTCAACCGACTCTCTTTAAGGGAGCTATTTCAGGCAAAACCTCACCAGTAAGTTTTTTATAGGCAAGACTTGTTCTTCGCACTGAAGGAAAGCTGCCATCAGAATTTTCATTTGACCATGACCATGACCATCGTATCCGAATAAAACACCACCTATCTCTAACAGACGGACATACTCCAAAGACATTTTTTGGAATCAAAACGGTTTTAAGAACCTTGAAAAGAGTTGTCCTTGCTCCACCGTCCCTGCAATTTTCGACAGTCTTGATGAAATTGATCGTTGTTTGGCATTTATCGCGAACTTCAGAGGAGTGTTTTTTTGAAGTTGAAGTTTTTTAAAGATGAATGCCGAGTAGCCTTGCCGACTGTACGATTGGTAGTGGTATGTTGTGGATTTTTACTTCGAGGGTTTCCAGGTGTTTGCGCTTTCTGCAGATATGCATGAGACTCGATTTTTCCGCTGAAATAGTAAGGCCTACGTGTATGCTCCATTTCAGAATCCTGGCTGCTTTTTTTAGATTTTTTCCTGACTTTTTCTGATCAAGGTCAGTTACTATAAGAATTACGTCGTTGGCGTAGACTAGGATTTCGATTCCTGCGAATTCCTGAAAATACGGTCAGATAGAAAATTTTGAATTTGATCATTCGTCCGATTCCGTTCGTTCGTTTAGTTGAAACGAGTTGGTTGTTTGTGACACTTTTTCGAAGAAATCTGCTAGATTCTAAGCGATAAGAGTGG